CCCCAAAACCCCAAAACCCCAAAACCCCAAAACCCCTAACATCATTTTCTATTTTGAAAGAATCTATTTAAATGCATTGTTGGTTTTATTGAGGATTCATTTCTGTTCTACCAAATCTGAGATGGAGCATAAAAGCTCAACTCATGAATAAAACACAGAGCTTTCTTGTATTGACTATATATAATGTTCATGATAATCTAATTACCTTTCGAAGCTTGTGATTTATCCTCAAACATAGTTAACTGGCTATCCTTGCTTGTATATTCACTTGGCTGGAAGAAATCTTTTACCGTTGCTTGGCACTCTTTGAAATTTTTCTTGTATCCTAGCCCTTGAGTTCTTAGGTGAGATGCTTTCTCAGGGGTTTTAAGTCCTTTCTCCATCCTATGTTCATCAGTATTTAAAAGTATCAGAAAGATACTTACCTCTTAACAAATTTTACTAGATTTGGGAATTTGTTCTTAAGCATACCCACAATCTCTGATTTTGGGATATTTACTAGTTGTTCTTTAAGATATCAGTATACAACAAGGTCTAAGGACGAAACTTGCTTGGTCAGTTCATCGTCTTTTTGGAAGAAATAATCATTATTCTCTAGCTTGGTGTCTAGATTGGTTAAATAAATTCTTACTGAGTTTCTCGTAGATATCTCTGGCAATATCATAACATTGCATGTTGTTCTTATCACTCATGGTAGCAGAGCATCCGATTGTTGTACTACAGCAGTTCATGAATCTTTTGAGTTGTGAGTACTTCATGTAGGATCTTATTGGGCTATAGATGTATTTCATCAAGGAAAAAGCAAATTTTTCATGTTGGTTGAACATTAGAGTCCTGGTCACAAGGTTTAGCTTAGTCATCACAATTTGCTCATACCATTCACAAGTTCTGAGTTGAGGGACTGAAAGCCAATCGTTAATATTGGTTACTTGCTTGAAATATTGGATTATATACTCTCTTGCAATGAATGAATTATGAATAGTCATGCAAGGATAAGTTCCAAATGGATCTTCTACTGTATATGCTTCTGTATCATATTTCTTATGGATGTCAAGATTAAGGAATTTTCCGATACTATCAACGAAAAGCTCCTCTGCAAATACCATTTGTTTCTCATCTGCTTTATCATTAGAACTAACCCAATTCAAGAGCTTTCTAATAAGTCCTGGTTTTTGAACAAGTTCTTTTCTTGTAAATAATTGAACTTTCGCTTTCTCCATGGTTTATTGGATACGAAAAATATTTAATATGAAAATTTGTAATTTTGGGGTTTTGGGGTTTTGGGGTTTTGGGGTTTTGGGG